AAACATATAAGGCGAAAAAAATAAGGCAGTAAAATCCACAGTCCTCTTCTCCACAAAGTCAATTTGATAGTAATAATAATACATTTTATTTCTTTACGCCTATTGGGACGCCCAGAGATGCCTTACAATATGCCATAAACAAATACATGAGTAATTCAAGTAAAACCAATCATCAAAATCACACTGGAGAACACCAACACCTTTCAACATATGTGGCTTAAAAGAAGGCATAGACACCTCACAGTAGCATATGTGAAAACAAGACTTAATAATAATGATAATGTCCATTAAACCTCACCTCTTCTATATGCTTATGTTCTGACATTCCACTTTTAGTTTGGGTGTTTCAAATTGTACTTCAATCTCTGATCTGATTACTGGCTCAATGATTTTCAGATTCTCATTCATGCTGTGGAGGCCAGGCTAAAAAAAAAGATTCTCATTACGCTTAGCCGGTTAAGGCTAACCCACATGACCTCATATTGCTGTGGGTTGAGCTCTGGTCATAACGTTAATAGCATGTAATGCCCTCGAAGTCACTTATAAAACTACTGGTCCAAGTCATTTGTCAAGCGTTTGACAGGTAATGAGTTTTCATATTAAACTCATCCAATTACGACAATGGAGGAAGTCTGCGTAAACCCTAATAATGCCGTTACCTCCATCAGTATAATGGCTGTAATTGTGCTTGTAAACTCTGTGTAAATTTCTAATAGAGGTTCATGTGACATTCATTTGAAAGGGAAAGTTTTTCTATGTAATACTTGACAAGTGACAGGCCAGAGCTATGGAATAGTTTGGTAGGTTTGGGGTCAAATTATTTTTAAGGTTTAATTTTGGGAACATGATGGGCTCGGTTGACTATATAGAAATGTGCAGTTCCCTACTAATGAGGAGACAGTTTCTTGGGAGAACATGATCATCAGAGCTAAATCTCTCTCTCTCTGTGTGTGTGTGTGTGTGTGTGCGTGTGTGCGTGCCTGCGTGCGTGTCTTTCCTAAACAACTCAGTACTGGTGCCGAAGCTAAACTGCATCCAGTTAGTATTCTTCACTTCTGCCGAGGCCTCACTGTAATCTGATGCAGTGTATCGCTGAGATCCACTCACTGCTCTGTTTTGCTATCTGCTCACAAAGCTCATATATCAGCTATGCAGGATGCCGATCAGGCCCCAGACTGGTGCTTTGCCTATAAGTAGGATGTAGCCTTAAGGTAGAACTTGGTGGAGAGTGAGGGAAGGAAGGAGGAAGGAGGAGGAGAGGCAAATGAATTAGAGACTATGGGGTAAAAGATGAGGGTGTGAAGGAATTTGGCATGGTTCCAGTCCCATGAATAAAATGCATAAAGTACACAGTAAATTTTTAATACTGTTTAGTTTCCACCAAGAGGCCAGATTTGCATCCTCATCCCCTGATTATGACATCTGCAGTCAGCACTCCAGGCATGGTTTTAGTCACACAGACACACACGTTTTCAGCAGAGGTAACTTCTGCTGAGAGAGGCTAATCGAGCTGAAGCCATTCCCTCTTCCCGTTCCTTCTCTACCTCGTCCTGTCACACACTTCCTCAGGGATCTGCTATCAGAGGAAATCTCAGGACCGGCACTTTAAAGTTAAAAGCTGACCTGGTGGTCCTCGCACAGACTGTGAACACAGGTCACAGCAGAAGTGGAAGACGTTTTGAGACTGTTCTCAAGGTGAAACAAATGGTCTGTATTTATATAGAGCTCCTCTAGTCTTAACGACCTCTCAAAGTGCTTTACAGTTCACTTTTGCCATTCACCCATTCACACACACATTCATACAGCACATGTATGTACAGCACTTTCTGTAACACATCAATCATTTTAGCAGCACAGCCATCAGGCGTACTTTGGGGTTTAGTATCTTGCCCAAGGACACTTCAGCATGTGGAATGCGGGACTGGGATCGAACCATCAGCTATCTGGTTAGTGGACGACCCGATTGTACGGCTTTAACAACTTAATTATGTTTTTCAGAAGTGACTTTTTGCTTCTATAGGATCCACTTTTTTAAATCTTATTATGGTTGTAATCTTGTTGAGGATGTGCTGTCTGAAATCTGTAAGCTAAGATAAGATAACCCTGAATTAGTTCCACAACAAGGAGGTTTATCATCAAATGGGACGATAACAGCAAGAAGCACCAATTAAAAGTTACAAATGAGAAAAACATGCAATATACATGTAGGAAACAAAAAATAGCAATTAAGTAAACAGGATGGCGCATGGAGCGATGAGGAAATTGCACCGACGTTCTGAATTAAATTAGATACACCTTAATAAATTAGAAGTGCATTAGACTGAGCTGGCCCTTTTCATCATTCTCTCCAGTCTCTTCCTGTTGGCTGTGGAGATGCTGCTGCCAGTTTGCCTGTGCCCAGCAAACCACTCAAATGATGGATTACCTCCCCTTCTCCCATGTGGTGGGTGGGGATACTCACCCCTATCCTAATGAATGAGAGTTATAGCCAGAATTAATCTTTTTGTAAGCAACGTAAAGGTCCGAGAGCTCCTGGATTCTGCTTTTCTCTCAGATAAACAGTATTGGGAGATGAAAGCTATGATATTTAACATTAGGGAGTTTGTCGATACAGAATATCAATTTGATAACCATTCCAGCTTTTTTCCTTTTTCAAAATCTATAAACATCACTTTATGGAATCATTTACACAAGCACTGATTTCCACTGGCACTAAAAACAGTTCTGCGGCCCGACGGGATGGAATGAGTATAACCGAATTTTATATGGTCGACAAAGAAGCTCTATTTTAATGTGGATCCTCACATCTGGTGGTTACCCAGTCCAATTAACGGAGTCAATAACCGACTGTGATTCAGCCTATCAGACCACTGCACCCCTAATTATTACTATCAGACTTTTATATCAGCACCATCGCTACATCATTTATCATCATTTACCACAGAAGTGGAGATGGGGAAGCACCTGCTCGTATGACAGAGAATAATTAGATATGGTGTTTACAAGCCACAGTGTCTTGGTTTTTCTAATAAGGTTCTCTAGCAAATATGTCAGCTTTCTGAAACTGGGATACTATGTTTGCATATGTTGATGCATAACTCAATATCTTCCCTCTTGAGAAAAACAAGATCTTTGCTTGATATAAAACACATTTATGTTGGTTTTTGCTGTTTATTTCAGCAAAAAACTGATTTCTGACTGTAAGATTGGCACTGAAATGGTTCACAATGAGCATAACATGGTCAAATGGCTATAAATATACAGAATATGCTGAGTAATAGTTCTAACCAAGTACTTTTACATTTTAAAATTAATTTCAAATTCACTCATTGAGGCGTCTGCCCCCTTTCTCCCTCTGGGGTGACTGTCTGAATACTGCAGCCCAGTTAAATGTTATCATTTATCTGCTAAAAAGCAACTTCTAATGCAGCATGACAGTGTTTACACATGCATGCAGTCAATTAACCATAATTAAACGAGGCACTGCTAAATAAACTGCATCATGTACAATTTTATAACAAAGGAGTCCCATTTTCACCGACAGCTGTTGTGTTACATTTAAAAGATATTTTAATTAAACCCCCTTAAAAAAAAAGACTTAATTAATCCGTTGACATTTATGCCAGCAAGTCCCTGAGATACACAAATAAAGACGGTTGAGAAATTTCATTCACTCCGAGTCACCAGGCGACTGAAAATTCCGTCACCACCTCCAACAAAGATGATATAATAATAGCGACACACTTTTATCTCCTTGTAATCACTTTGAAGGGTTTGAATGACATTGGGGCAGTGTCGCAGTGAGCTAAACAGCCAGTTAATGCTTTTGAGATGAGCGCACTAAAATATTAATGGGGGTCCTGGGCAAGGAAAGGTCATCGCTGAGACATAGACGGAATAACAAGAGGGCTGGTGGTTACTGCTGCAAACCTTAAGCAACACCAGTAAAAGCAAAAAACAAAAAAAAACACAGCTGAAGTCTATCGCAGGCAGCGGATCCTCCGCCGCAGTCCTCGGGTGGACACAGCAAATGTTGATGAGGACAGATGAAACACTTTCTCTTGTACACACAACATGTTTGTAGCTGCAGGTCAAACTGAACTCAGCAGAAAATACCAACCAAGTGGCAAATTGTCCAGATGGTACAAACAGGACAACAAATTGTTTTTTTTAAATTTTATAACAGTTTTTTATTCACAGTTGATTCTAAAGGGGACCTCAAATCAGCTGTTTCACTACAGTACATTTCATAAGGATTCATATTTGTTTCGCCCGGTGTCTTTCAACCGTTGTTATACTTTTCACTATCTGTCGGACTCCACAGAGCTGCTGTTATAATAATGCCGTGGAGGGCGGGAGTGCATTAAACTGGTTAAAGTTAACGCTGTCGTAAAGCAAACACACCCACAATGGGGGCAGGGCAGTTTTATTTCTCAACACTACACCTGGCAATCTTTTGGCTCGTCGACCAAACTGTTTCTGTGTTTGAACTATCCTCCACTTTACCAGCACCGGCTCGTCCGGATCAGAAAATCCTCCACCTCCACCCTCTCTCCTCTTTTCCATCATATTCAAGCACTAAAATTATAAGCCTGATTTCCTCCTGCCTCTACATTTGCACCACTCTCGTGCATCGCCCTCTCTCTTCCTTCCCTCTCTCTTCCTGCCCTCTCTCTCTCGCCTCCCTTTATGCTGGGCCTCTGCTCAAGCCTGTGGAGTTTGCCCTCACTGTGTTTCAAATTACATGTCACATCAAATAAGGCTTGTTGCTGTTATCGCAGGTGCGAGTGTGTGTATGTGTGACTGCTTTGGTATTCCACCTCCTTCAGATTCCTTTTAAATGAATCTCTAGTTGAGCTCAGTATTCTGAATGAGTAACACGGAGCTGTAATAGATCTGATTGACACAGCATACTGTGCCATTATCACTGACCTTTCTTTTCTTCTCTCTTCTTATCTCCTCTCTATTCCTCTGCCCGGCTCCTGTGCAAACATCTAAAGGAAGTGGAGGTGAGTAAATCCATTGTGCTTGTAACCTGATAATACTGCGAGGAAGCATACTGCAGAAATCCTATGTGTTTGTCTGACACTTGCTGCAAGGCATTGTTGCAGAGCTGGAGAGGTGTTGCTAATTTAAATGCACAGCAGGTTGGGTGGCTGGTCAGCTATAACGTGGTATAGTTCAGCATATTAAAATGCTGCAGCAGTGGTTTGATACTTTCCTCACTTTAAAGCAATTTCTGCAGGTTGCACAAGTTTTATCAGTCAGTGCACAGCAGCTTTCAGTAACAATTGCCTGACAGAAGTGGCCTTTTATCTAGACCTGACCTAAAGTATATAGACATGGTAACATTACACTCATATTTGATTTTTAAACATTCATAGCCGAGGACCTGTAACACACCCTACTGTTCTGGGGAGACTTTCCACAAGGTTTTACAGCCTGACTATGACAAGAGCATGAGCAAGGTTGGAGGATAAAGGTCTGACTCACTGTCTTCAACTTTTAGATTGGGTTATGCTCCGGGCAAAGAGCAAGCTAGTCAAGTTATTCTGCTCCAAAATTGGAGAATGGGGAAAAACCTGATATAATATGTCTAAAATGTTAAAGAATTCTATGCATTGTATTTCTATGAATTTAAAGACTAACGCCCAAACAAGAACAAAAGATTTTCTTTGGTAATGTGATATTTCCTATTTGATCTCTCTACAGTCTAATTATTTGCTACCCATATATTTTACTGACTACAAAGAAAAACTATATAAAACATGATTTGATCGACTATTACAACTAATATATAGGACAGTATATTTATATAAGAAAGGTGAGTGCGTAACGGTCATCATAACGGTCTCTCATTTCTCTTTACAGTACAGGCTGTAGGAGTCTACAGAAATGACTTCTGCGACAGTAACATCCTACTTTCCACTCTAACAGCCATAAAGTTAATTTATAATAGAGCCAGGGCTGGAGAGATGGACATAAAAGAAGAGAAAAAAGAAGTGAGGACATGAATGAAATAAGGACCTGAGGGAGAAGCTAATTAGGTTTTAGCCACTCATTTGAAACCTTTGTGTTGGCTCAATCGTTGGCAGTTGTCATTTATAGAACAAGGACTGCAGGAGTGGGTCAGCTGTCCACTTCCTGTGGACTGTTTCTGCCTCATGTAGCTTCTCTATCTATCTTTCCTTCTTTCCTTCTCCCTCTCTCTTTATCAAATAATGACGGAGGTAGAGATCCTGCTCTCTTACACAGCAGGTTTTCATTTAGTATCACCGACACAGGCTCACTCCCTGCTGGCACACATGTGGTTTGCTTTGGGTACAGCTTCAGATGCAGACTCCATCACTGTGTGTGCATGTGTGTGTGGTAACACCTTACCTCCCCATGTTTAACTTTTATAAGCATTATAAAACATTTTATAAAGCCTACAGAACAAACTTAAATGTTATTAATAATTGTAAATGTATTTGTCAATGGCTGTAGAACTTATGTTCAGTTAATGAATCACAGTATATTTAAACACTGGTGCAATAATCTACGTACTTATATCTGCTTACAACTACATTATAGTATGTTATAAACCATGTATACTGCTTTTAGATGCTAAATACCGTGAAGCTGATAAAAACAGGGAAAGTAAAGGAGCAGAAAGAGTGGCCTATTGAAATGCACTGCTGCGTTTCCTGTTTCTTTTCTTACTAGTAGCTGCTGCTACACCGAAAAACAACAACTCTCCACCTGCACCACTCCTGCCTCCTTATATATCTTAGTTTTACAGGGTGATTTATGGATAAATCATCTTATTCTGACCTATATATTTAATTTAAATAGTGTGAGCCTTGGTTTTTTTTACATAATGGGTTTTTTAATTACTTTACACAATAGAAGATGTCTCTAGAATCTGCTCTGAATGGAGCCACTGAATCAAAGTGTATTTAACAAATCCAAATCTTCTCTCAACTGAGGAAGGCCAATTATTTTCAGTTTAAATATTTTAATTTTATGAGATTTTCTTCATGACTGTGGATTTTAGTGTATCTGAGCAGTAGGAATAATTTGCACTTCTTCAAATATGATTATGAACATAGCTTAACAGCTTAAAGACCTAATAGAAATTATTTATTAATACTGTTCTACACCATTCCTCCCCTCAGATAACCACCAGTGCACTGCATTCTGAATTATTTTTGGTGTTAAAGTCCATGTTGACCCAGACATCAAATATTTTGGTCCAAGTTCAGCTCATCTTTAATAAAGCCTGCAACTTACTTCACTCCTCAGTGTGTCTCCTGCAGTTTTCTCTGTATATTTGTTCTTTTTTTTTAAATCCTCAAACAATCATTTACCTCTCATCTTTTATTTTTCTTCTACAATCCTCCACGAAATAAAAGTAAATAAAACATGGAGAGAAGAATGAGGACAAGGTTTCTCAGTTTAGGTCAATATTTGCACTGTTTCCTCTCTGGTCTACAAAATAATTCAAAGATATCCTCGGCAGTGCGCTATGGGTTTTTTATAACCCAGTTTCTTGTGTTGTGTTTCCATTCAGGATGACTACTTCAAGAGTTGGGCTCCTGCCAAGTCTGCAGACCAAGGTGAGTCCTGTTGTTTGTGTGACTCTAATGTTTATATTAATGCTCACCGTAGTATCTGAATCTGGGTGGTACTTTTGTGTATCAAACAAAACGTGTCTGGAGTATTCAAAAGGTCTGAAATGGGGAAAGACTGAAACCCTTTAGAGCCTGAAAAAGAAGAAGAAGTCTTCAGAAACTCTTTTAACCATCTTTATTGCTCATACCCTTACTTAAGCGAGAAGAGCAATTTGCACTAGAAAACCAGAGACAAATCAGGCCATAAGATAAGATGAACCTTTATTTATCCTCCTTAGAGGAAATTGACACAATAACACAGCAGTACAACAAAGTAGCAGCGCAAGGGGGGAAAATAGTACGAATAAAAGTATGTATACAAATAGAAATATTATACAAAAGTAGTGCCATATATATATATATATATATATATATATATACATACACACACACACACAAGGCCATCATCACCATAAGTCCCCGAATGATTCTTTTTGCATTTTTTAAATTTAATTGTTGCAGCCTTTAAACATGTGATAAAAGTAAAGGCATAAATTAATTGACTTTGTAAAACACATCAGGCTGATTTGCATCCATTGAGCTTCAAACCACATTTATAACCATGTGTAATAAACCCTGTATCCTCTGTTGTCTCAGTCACAACCCAGCAAAGGCAAATACAAACTGAACTAACTAACTTTTCACATTCAAACTGCATCCTCTTGCATTAAAGAGAGCTAATCATATGTAGGCGGTATAATACTAATCAGTGTTATTTATCTCATGGTAGAGCGATGAGAGTGCTAAACCATTTACTGTGTTAATTAGGTTCATGTAGAAATACACAGAGACATCAAATGAATTTTCAGCTAATATCTAATGAAACATGCTGAGTGTGTTGATGCATATAGTTATTTATTTAGCTGGCATTAATGGTACAGTTGTACTCGAGATAAACAAATTTTGCTCTTTCAACACGTAGTAGTGTGTGTGTGTGTGTGTGTGTGTGTGTGTGTGTGTGTGTGTGTGTGTCTTTTTTCCAAGGCCAAATTGCTGCTACTTTTCACAGTATACTGCTTACAGACATTTGCAATCACTCAGAATCAGTCACACTCTGTCTCATAATCTCACACAAGGGCTCCATATTAACTTTCCTCACCAACATTAGCAGAAACAATTTCAGCTGCCCCAAAGTAAATTAAAATTGTGTTGGCCACTCAAAGAAGTACGTTTAAAACAAAGCTGTAAAGATTAGAGATGCTGCTCAGTAAACGTTTTCTTGAAGAACTGTGCCTTTGCATCAAAGCTTTATATTTATGTACTCTTTAGTGCATGCCATGTGAATTTGCTTTTCCCTGAGTGTACAGTTCTCCCAGTTGTGCTCATGATATACAGCTCCTTCCCACTGCTGCAGAACTGAGCAGACTGTGTGTTTATTCAAAGTTTATTAAAACTACATGTGTTGCATGTCCAAATTAGGAAACAACAGTACTTCCTTTGGGAGAGAGATAAACAGCTAGAGATTCATACTTAAGTTGGATTAGATCAGATGGTAAAATGTATGCTGTCTCCTCAATTCTGCTCCTGATTATTCACCGTTAAGTTCATTGAGTTGTGAGTCGTGTCGGAGCAGCAGACCGCAGCTCTGCTCATATATTAGGGAAGGTAATTAATGTTTGCCTGATTAAAAATGTATAATTTCACCTCTCAGGACCCATCCACTATTAATCAGTGGTAATTCTTATGTCTTGACCTGCCTGATCAATGGATTAACTGTGGGGCCTGTGGATAAAACATCAGTCAGGCCTGTACGTGTGCATGCCATGTTTACTAAATGTCTAAGGCTCGGCTGATGAAGACAGAAGACCATAATAGTCATTTTTCACAGTACATTTTGATTATTTTTCACCAGTCATTGCTTGGCTCAGTTTGTCATTTGCTCTCTGAAGCCGTTCTGGGGAAGATCTCTGTTCATCTCAAACACATTTCCTATCATAGCCTCGGGAGGAGATGAGATGCCGTTAGTCATGAGCACAGTCTCTCACTCACTCTCTCTCTCAGGGGGTTTGATTGGTCTGCAGCTTTCTGAACAGCAAATCTCTCTACCGCCGAATTTGTTCTGCTCTGTTCTGGCTTGGTTTTGCATATCTAGTGCCGGAACTGTAAGTCTTCAGGGAAAGACTTGCTGAGCAGGTTTATCTGGGCCAGCTCCTCGTGGATACCGAACAAAAAACAGTTTCCCCTCAGCGCATCAAATTTGAGCTACTCTCAGAATTCTCAGAGACGACTGAAAGACAAAAAGTAAACAGAGCTTCATTCCCCTTTAACTAGGGACTAAATACATGAAACGTTATGGAGGAATCCTCTGTGCCAAAATCCAGGGGAAGTGCAAGTACATGACGGATTCAGATGCTGAAACAGTGTTGTAATACTGTACTACATCTGTGCTCTTCTTTGATTCCCATCAAAGGGGATTTCTGATATTCTACTTACAAACACTAGTGACATCTATCCAGTATATTACATCTGCCAGCAGACGCAACATTCCAAAAGTTTTTAGTACCATTCATTTACACACTCTTATTTATAGACATGTGGCCCAGGTTGAGAACTACTGAAATTCCCCTTTAAGACTGTTGTGTTCATTTTGAATGTACTGTATACTGTGGTTGTATATCAACACCAGCTGTGGCCCAGACAGTGGAGCAGTTCTTCCACCGGTGGGTGGTTCGATTCCCAGTAGCTACAGCTAGGTATAACTAGAAAAGAGTGTATAAATGTGTGTGTAAATGTAAACTGTGATTTAAAGGACTTTGAAAGGTCTTGAAGACTAGAAAATGTGTCTAACTAATATTTCATTCAGTTATTTGTAGGTTGTCCTGTAAGGGACAACTTCACAATGCGTTTTTGTTGCTCTTTCATTCCGTCACTATGGCATGAGCCAGATTGTGCTTCCAAAGAGCTGGTGACTAATGACTAATGACTAATGACTCGTGATGTGACGTCATGGTATCTGATCCGGTCAGATTACAAATAATCGTATTGAAAATGATAAGTGTGACCACAAAACTTGATTGGAGGTGAAAGGAGAGCAGCATCAATCACCACCTGCTGATCTCAGTTTGACTAATGATTCGCTGGTCGCCCTTGGAGACTAATCAGCAGCAGAAAGGTTGATGGGGGGGGGGGGGGGTATCCGGTCCCCTGATGAATCACTCTGTGGTTAATGTGTCTCCATCACCAATGAAGGAAATCAGCTGGATCGCAAATGACTTGTTGGTGAAACTGAAAGTTGGACGATCAAACCCCCAGTGGTAAAGCTGTTTTCCTCACGTCTTAAGGCATAATGAGGTCAGTTGTTGTGGAGCTGTCACATAAACTAATCCACCTGTCTGCTTCGCCTCATTAACACAAACATGTGGCCCACGGCATCCGTGTACTAGTATTTTAAACATGAGTGGATTTTGCTCTTAGTTTTGCATGTAATACTGGTTTCCGTAGGGGGAAAAAAACGCAGTCTGTATAACATGACCATCACTACTATCTGACCTCAGACACTTTGAAGTGAGGATGATATACAGTACATGTTCAATAATTGAGTTTTGTTCGCAATGATAAAAAGTGTTGTGGTCTGTTGATGCTTTGATACAATGCAGCCTGGAACCTAGTGCACCATCTTCTTTCTACTCCCTCTCTCTTTTCTTTTAATGTTACCCTCATTTTCTCAAAACTCTCATCAGTTTAATTTGTTTTTCATTCTTTCAGGTCATCTAACTCTCACCACCCCTTCACCTCACACACCCGTTGCTGCTGATTGTTTTCTATTGTTTCTGACATATTTAGTTCATCAGATGGAAATTACATAATTATGAACAATGGATGACTGTGAATCCACATACCACAATGACTTTATTACACACACACACACACACACACACACACACACACGCACACACACTCACACACACACTCACACACACTCACACTCACACACACACTCACACACACTCACACACACACTCACACACACACTCACACACACACTCACACTCACACACACACTCACACACACTCACACACACAGAAAGCCTGTGAGGTTTTGTTGTTTTGTTATTACTGTCTCATTCCTGTCACATTGTGTATTTGTACTTCTCTCTTTGCTTTTAGCTGAAACACTCTTGGTGCATAAATATACACACATACTTCATGTTGGTATTTCTGCATCTTTAATGCATGAGATCATTTCTGCACTAGTCATAAACTTCCGTTGGACCATGTTTCAACATCTCAGTAGGGACGATGTCATATTGTGAATTCCCAGTTGTCATATTCACAGTACACACTATATCTAGCATCATTCAGATGTAAAGCTGACAGTTTGTATGGCTCAAGTAGGTTACAGTCAAACCTCTGTGGCTGTGATGTAAAGTTTGTGTGAAATTAATGTTTCATTGAAGTATTTTGCACAAATTTCTTTCTTTTCAAAATCTGTATTTTTAAAATGATCAATACATATTTTTAATCACTTGAGAACAGAAATGTAAACAGGAATCTGTATTCCAGATTTTAATTTAGTAAAAATGCACAGTGTGACTTTTAGTTGAGAAAAATATGTGGTTATTCTGAAAGCATTGAGCTGAGAGAGCTCATGAAATCATATGTCACAACCCCTCTTGTCTCCATATACTTGTTTCTGTGGAGATGGCTCTCTTACCTGTCTATTTTCCAGTCATGGATGGTGAACCTGGTGGCCTCTGTACATGTAATACTTAAAATTCCAAAGCTGTGTGAGTAGGTATAGGTGTGTATGTGGGTGACACTGGCCTGCATCCCGGACAGCCCGGCTCCCCCTGTGAGTGGATTACACAGACATCTGCTGTACTCAGATCAGAGCTTCATGCTTTCATAGTGAGTGCCTGGGGGCCAGTGGGACTGACAGGGGACATCATTTGCAACAAAATACAAGATAAAAGCAGCATTTGAGGCTGATGTCACTAATACAATAG